ACTAATATATAATAGTGAGTGATATGAAATTGGAAAGTTGGCATGCAATATTCTTCCACTTCTCATTACTTCTTAATATGAAACTTCTAATGAACTGATTCGGTTTATTTATCCTCAATAGTCCTATTCATCATATGCAATTGGTAAATATAAGTATGAAGTCTACTTCTTCAGCAGTTTAATAAATTGACTAGAAAGACTGTGAGATCAGAACTCGATAAAATATTCGTTTGTTCTAGAGTTTACAAGTTTCCGATTTCTTTGGGGGGGGGGGGAGGGCAATAATAATACAACACATAATATTAAGAAGTGTTAAATATCATTAGTGTTAGTGACCTTATTCAAATCATATTTGTAAATGCTAAGGTAGAGGCTACTAAAAGTAACTTAATTCAATTAACATACACTGCAATAAAACACTTTAAAGATATCATGTGAATATAACTAAAGTTCTCCTGAATAAAAAAACCTTTCCATCGATTTGACATTTTTTTTCATTTTTTTTACTCATTACAAAAATTCATGAAGGACACCAGTTTCAATCTACTCCATTTCATAACCAACCCCCCACATATGCTGCATACAAGTAGGCTATTTCAATGAAAAATACATTTTATCAAATACTGTCTCTTATTAATGTTTTAGCTTTGTAGGTTACAAGCATCAGGGATGATAGTATTGCATATTTTGTGGATAACAAAACTAAGCATCTTTCGCTCCTTCAAAGCGTACAGTCATTAGGATGATACGTCAACTCCAGTTTGCGTAAATCACTTCATTAGATAATGAATACACCAGTATACAATTAACACACTAGCGCTGAAAAGTACCTGTCAATCAACTGTGAAATAAAAATACCAGGAATTAGAATCATACGGTAGAGCCATTCAGTAATAATCATTTACGACCACTGGATTACTGTCAATAACACTATGCAATAAGAATGGAATAAGCAGAAAAGGTATTTAGAAACAAAACAGGATTTTAAAAACTTCAGTCTCTATAAGAAGTCCACTACAGTTTAAACCATTCAGCCCAGAGAATGAGGGATTAGTACAGGAACCCGCCTTAGTTAACCAGTTCGAAAATCTCAATTCATCCTATAATAGAAAACCAATTTGATCATAAACAGAAGTACTGCAAAAACTGCTAAATCACGTACACCTCCTATTTAATTTATGCACAGAAGGAAAATAAATAGAATAAGATAAGAAACAATTAACCTGATTTCCAACGTTTAGAGTTTTGCTTATTTTATTCACGCATTTCTCCTCAAGTTATTCTTGAAAGAAAAATAAAGTCCATGAAATTTTATACTTCTTGTGATCAAATTCAACACGCATCACGATTAAAAATTAAGATGTAGGGAACAACGAATGCTTGGAAAAAACTGAAACTTACGATGAGGAACTAGTGATTGAAAACTTCACTGGGAAGTATTGTAGGAGTTGCTGGTTGTGTTGCTATTACGTAACGTCTAACCAACCAACTTAACTCGATGTGCTCTAGTACCTGTTTAATCAGTACCTACCCTAACGTGTGAGTACTGATAACGAAACACAAATTGAAAGGACTGGTATTCAGGAATATATTCACAGAAGCAATTTAGTTAATTAGAATAAACGTGATAGTAATTATTAGGGGAAAAGTTTATCCAGCTTGTCTGGCTGAACTAGGGACTCTGAAGATGTGCGTGTTAACACACAAAAGTGCAAAGTGGCGTCGAAGCCTGCTCGTTAAAACAAAACTTAAAACACCCTAACCATCCTGATGCAAGCTAGAGGTTTATTTGATGAATATTCAGACACTTCAATTTTAGCCTTAGTTGCATTTTGGTGCCAGGATGTTGCACTACAGATATACGAACTGTGTCGAGATCACTTATTTGATCTTCCTATGTAGTCTTGTCTGTATATCCGCAGCTTCTTAACACGACTGTACTTTATTGGGTGTGAAATTTCATAGCATACTATGTTGTGTAACTGTTCTTAGTAATACGCTCCTTCAGGGATATCGGAAACCTTATCAGACATTGCTAACGTCCGCCACAGTAGGACAATCTAATCCCGTTTGTAAAAGTAAGAACGGAATCTCAACATTACTGAAACAAGTCCCCCTTCAGACTATCAGTGCGCTTATCTGTAGACTGAGAGCTGTGACACCCAACTTTTCATGCCTTAAGATCAGTCCAACGACCAAGAATTTTATTAGGCTGCCATGTCACTGAGAGCTATGTTCACCATCACACCAACTGTCTAAACATGTCGCCCCATCCAAAATTACATCGAACTGACAACGAACTATTGACTGACCATCGAATAACCTTGACCGACTAACTTGGATTTGTACACAAAACACTGAGTTGATGCGGTGTGACCGTCTTCGTGGATCATTCCGTAGACTAGCAGATCACAGACTTGGAAGCCGCCAGTTTAAACATTAATCCCCGGATTTCCTTTCAGTCTTGATTATTTTCATGTACGCAGTTATATACTCTTATTGAATGAGCATTACTCAGGTAATCGACATAAACAACAAACAGTACAAGGGTTCATAAGCCCTAGAAACGAGAAAACCATAAACTACTATAGCATCATGTTGTGATGCCCCAGTTTTGTATAAAACATTGTTATCGATCCGAACATTTTAACGTGTCATTCCCATATTATTTTTCACGGTATGACTAATAGTCTATTTCTGCCTCCATTGCAATGTAATTCGCTGATCGGTTAACTTTTACTCTTACTATGCGAATTTCTCCAATTGCGGACAAGGTCAGTTTTCATGTGTATACCTATTCACGTGTTTTGGATTGATTCAATGTTATTATATTATATTCTCGAAGTAATACACTCTCCCATCTGCCAGCTTCGGTCTTCTCTCTATTCGTCCCGGGGTTGCAGCCAGTGTCTCTTGCGTACCAAGTTAGCTGTCAGCTAAGCACGCGTATTATATTCGTTCTGGAATATATATACATATACCATTGCGCCTCGAACCCATAACACATCATCAACGTTATTCAGAAATAAACTTATATCATCTAAATAGATTATAGATAATTAGTCTCATGGCGGAGACATTTCAGTACAAATCCTTACCAGTGGGAACCTAACTTCATGTACCTAGAGAAAGAGAAGTGGAAAATGTAAGATGAGTTGTGGTGAGATGACTTCGCTTCTGTTTACAAGTTACAATCGATATGCTGCTCCACAGAATAGGGCGAACTACCTTCCACAAAAATACAATTTCACACTGCATCATAAGTCTATGCACTAACTATGACACATAGTTATTATTTATATGGAGGCTTGTTATAAAACGTAACCGTTCAGACCACAATAAGTGAGGCTTAAACTCAAAGTACACTGCTTGAGAATCAAGTGCCTTAGAAAATGGACTACATTCTCGGTGAGGATTAATTCTAACAAAACAGCCAATTCAAACTAACATCCAGTCATTTTATGAGTAGCTAACATGTATGCAATCAGGAGTTTTCGGTAATCTGAGAAAGAAAATCCTACTATGACACCATACATCTAAGGCTGATGAACACTCCATGTCTCTTTACTTAAGGTTCTGAAAACTCAATTTCTTGTGTCATTCTCATCGTCTTTATAGTGCAAATTGTGAAAACCAATAAACTTATTATGCTTTAGCACTATAGACTAAAGAACAAATTAAGTATTGGAACCAGTTTAGTAAACAACCTCAGAAATGATTCTTCACCTATAATCCAAAAACCACCTTCTTTTCTCATAGAAATGTGTGAAACAAACTTAATCTTAACACGTCTAAATGTAAAAGAGCACAGCTTTGAAGAATGAAACATATTTAAAATGATAATGATAGAAAACCATTTTACAGTACACAAAATATGCATATTAGCACATTTCAATAAAACTAATTCCGTAAAGAAAATATAAACACAGTGAGAACGTTAACAAGTATTTCAACAAGCTGTTTATTGATCTGAAAAAAATAGCCTTCTATCCAAATGAATTTTCCTGATGACCGGAAATAATGAGAAAAATATTCAGAAATTTGTAATATAACAAAATGAGAATCAAAGAACCAGTTAGACCTACCTACGGAAGCGAAGAAAAACCAGGAATGTATATTAGCAAAACGATATGTTTGATACTTTTAAAGGTAAGTAAAATACACCTAGACAACAGAACCCCTTTTTGAGGTTTGTGGGGATTTATTGGTTTCAGGTTGGTATTCATTATGGGTTGACATCAATTGAAGAAACCTTGGAAACATGGGAGCTTTGGACAACTGTTTCATCCTAGTGTAAGGGCTCCTCAGCAGTGAGCACCTATGGCTCTATTCCGCCAAAAATCGAACGCAGAACCTGCCAGAAGTGAGAAATATGGACCACTGAATTCCGACCCAGTGGGTCAATGGTAACGTGATGGTCACGGAACTTGGACGTCCTGGGTTCGATCCCTGGCAGGGTCATGAGTGCACACCGCAGAGAAGTCCCATACTAGGAGGAAACAGCTATCCAGGGCTCCCGGGTTTCCGACGTTTCTCCAATTGATGTCAGTCCATAAAAAAATACCAACCAGACCATTTACATCACACAGTTAAATATGACGAATATAAATGATAAAACTCCACAGCCTTGAAGTTTAATTGAAATACATCCTCATTTTGAATATGTGAGAAAACAGTCCAATTCCTTAGCTCAAACTAAAAAAAGTAAATAAAGCGAAATAAAGCTTCCCTGAGTATTGAATATGCAGGCAGCATCCTGTGCACTGAGACTAATATGGTTGTTTTGTAATAGATAACTCGAACTTTTCTCAGAAGAAAGTATAACTGTCACTAGAACATTTACTACACAAGAGACTAAGAGTGTGGGTGGCGAGAAACTGGTTCTAGAATAACTGACTTCATGTACTGAAAGTGTGCACAGAATACACCAATGTGTGATAACCAATAGAAAATCACTATGATAATGTCTATTCATTGAAAAGTAGCGACGTTGAAAAGTGTTAGCTGTTATGCCTAAAAGAAATATATCTCATCCAAAAAGCATACGCTATTCCAATGAAACGAAGTGGTGTTGCAGCTACCATCTCCAAACAAGCCCCAATTATTCCCCGAAGAAAATCTGAGCGACAACGGCACCGTACACTCACAGGAGGCAATATACCAGCAGTTGTCCAAGAAAGAAGTGCTCCTTCTAGTCCATAAGTACTCACCAACTTTCCATTCACTATATCCAAGTAGATTGATTTAGCTACATCATCCGGCGATGCTAAACCTGTAGTTGCAGATATTTCTTTAGTAGCTGCCGGTTTGCCAGTGTTCTCACGCTAAAAAATCAAAGAAACTTTTTATGAAGTATGAAATGAGGTTTCAAAATCATCAGTAATTTACGTACGCTAACTTCACTAACTAAAGCACATACTAACTTGTTGGATAGGAACTCATAAGACAATAATGAATACGAAACAAGAACTTTTGTTCCTTTTTTTGATAACTCTCTAGTCAATCTGTACAAGTTTCTCATTCGGAGTGGAAATAAAATTCCATTAAAATAATTTTCACATGACCTTTTAATGAGTTGTGAAGTTAACCTATTGCGCAAAGTCGGAGAATTGTAAGTGAATAACTAGACCCGATTAAACAGTAAGATGATGAATTCTTGACTCCTTAGACAGCTATTCATATAGCGTTAGCCCATAACTACATAAATACATAGTATTTATAGCTTTCAATTATCCAACAAAAATGAACTGGAATACTATATACCTCTTGACCTCTACCATTCAGCAGAATGGATAACATACAACTGGAAAAACTAGGAATACTAAACCAAACTTCGCATAACCCAACTAAATATTCTTAGTACAAGCTTTCGGAACATCACAGTATGAGCGGGAGAAATATATCCTTTGTAGTTACGATTGTTAGAACTCTTGAACTCAATATTAGTTAAGAAATTTTGTATAGAACAATTAAAAGTCTTGAGTACGCTGCAAACGAGCGAAACGAAACACATTCAGGAACCTTGTGCACATTTGTGCAATAGGCAATGAGCCACATATATTGGGTGACAGTTAATGATACCACCTGGCTGTCCGAGTCGCAGTATGTGCATTGGGGTTCAAACCCGCGACCCATTGGCTTATAGTCATCCCTCTAAATAACTGAGCCACAGATCTACTGCGTTCATTGCACATGAACTGCAATCCCATTATTATTTTAATTTCACGACTAAAATTATTTTGAAGACTACTGCTCAAAAAACGAGTGGTGAGGATTTGGTGATCAACGATATTTGAATGTGGTATATTAAAGACAAGGAGAAAAAAATTAAAATCTAACTTATTAACTAGACAGAGCTCCGTATTTTAGGTTATCAGCCACGTGTTTTGTGGGAGAGATAGTGATATTAACTTGTTGCCCAAAACTCAGTAGGTACAGTTGGTCCAAACCCATGATTCAGACTGAAATCTACGTACATTCCCCATAGTGTCAGATATTCATGACGTTACATTCATCCTGGTGACTAGCAACAGAATTCAGGAAGGGCGTTTTGTCCGACTTAGGACCCGTCAGCTGGATGTTTCTGTGAGGTCGAGCAATTTCCTCATGTGTAGTAGCGAGAAACTGCAAATATAAAAACAACTGATACCCGTGGCACAAGAGATGGATATCGTGCCCCAGTAGATAACGCTTAAGCATATGAAGCAATGGGTACTGGGTTCAAAGTCTCAATGGAAACACCACTCACTGGGACGCAAATACACTCAGTGGACGAGTCCAGAATGGGACGAAACGCGTGTGCTCGATTTCACTGCTAGTCACTAAGATGAAAAAACACCCTCCTTAATTTTCCAAAACCTATTGATTGATTTCTCTTAATTCGAATATATTGTCTGGTATCAAATAATTGGGAGGCCACAACCCCATTGAAAATTTAAAAAAAAAACGTGGAACAAGCTGAACACTTTCATTGTCATACAACATGAGCATCACATGATATTTGAATCTAGCTAATATAAACAGTTATCCCCAACACCTGCAATCAAACAAGTATGGATTATCCGCTGTTTTTCAAAAATCAAAAATACTAGGCAGTTACATCATATTGATTATTTGAACGGCGTTTGAGTATCACAAAATCAAAAATCAACAACGTGAATAGAAGTGTTTAACTTACAGCATATCCTGGGGTGTCTGTATCTGGCGGGAAAGCTATTGTTACATATGGGCCTTTGTAACCCAATTCCATTTCCAAAACTTCGGCAAACCCACGTAAAGCATACTTACTGCCTGTGTACGCTGCATAACCGTAGACACCTACTTGACTAGCAAGACTGCAAACAAAGGCAATACGTCGCTCATGGGTTTGGTGAACTTTTTGATCCAACATGGAAGGTAGTAAAATACGCGTTACATGAACAGCAGACAAATAATTAGTTTGCAGCATGCCTTTAATGTCATCTGTAGAAGTATCCAAGAACTTGCGTGCAACAGCATATCCAGCACAATTTATTAAAATGTCAATAGGTCCTGCAATTTAAAAAATTGAAAATTCAGCCTGAGTGTGACGTCACCTAGAATGTAATAGTGAAAAAGCCAATACTTGTTCAACCTAAATGTCACATGAATAGTTCCTCAAATGGTGACACAGTGCTGAATAGTTGGAGACAATCAACAGAGATTTGGATTTCTTGCGTATTGGTAATGAACAAGGCGTATCTGCGAACTAAAGTAAACTCAAGTCCGTTCAAAGCCTTTAACGCATGTTACACAGTGCTTCAGTAAGAGACGTTACCACTGTACTATTCAGGGCATGACTGACCTATACAACTGAATGATATTTACTGACTGGGTACTGGTGACCACAATTCAAAATGACAAACAGAACACAGTCCCTAATTAGAGAGATAATATGAAATCGGTTATTTCCATGACAAATGAGTAGTGATACATCGCTAACTGCAAGACAAGATATTAACGTTTGAAAGTTCCATCTACTCAGATAATTAAACTCTAATGTCTACATACTTTTAATCACTAGGTAGTGAAAAGAATTTAATTGATAATTGTCAACAAACTCGGCACACCGGGAATGAAAACAATTATGACTTCGTCATTATTTTAATAAGGTGTATGTAACCTTCCTTGATTATAAAATAAAACTTTTTCAATTCTTCTATAAACTGCAAATATTCAAATGCTTGTCAAGTATTTTTTTTTACTTTGAAACAGATTATTCCCTCCTACATCATAGTTATGAAATAGGGTGATTAAAGGTGCAGATGTGAAGGTCTCAGGTGCTTGACCACTGCTGCCGCCTTAACATCGCGTTTTTGAGGTTGGACTATCAGGAAGTCAGAGAGATTAACGTAAGACCTCACACAAAAGTGCATCAGTTTGGGCTGCTAAAATTTACAGCAGTAAGAATAGCAAAGGTTTATAAGAAACGAATGGCATTAAATTAGGCAAGAGTACATAAAAGGAGCAAGGGTAATAAGATGGAGGTTAATAGAAATACTCAAGATTTCAAAGATAACAAAGTGTATACATTTGCACCCTCATGACTGACTTTGAGCCATACTAGTAGGAGTCTCCAGACACCGATTTCTATCGACTCGAGGACTCGTCAGGAAACCTGTCTACTTACACGGACCAGACGGACAGTCGAAGACTTCATGAGTTGGTACCACGCCTTAGTCTGACTACTCAGCCTCTCTACTCCAACTGACACCACAAGTTGAAGTTGAAGTAAGCAATGGTTTGCACATGCACAAAGAATGTTCAGGTCATTTCAGTCACTGAGGGTCCGCAGCCTCCATCATATGACCTGTCCTCCTCGCTTAACAATTTAAACCTTATCTCGAAATAGTTCATGTAGAGATTCCACCAAATGCTAAAAATGCTGTGAAGACACCTGAGACTAAACACCTATGACTTCTTCATACCTCAAACGTTTAGTGGTCATGTCTCTACCGAACAATAAGAGGAAGCGAACATTCATACAGCATACTCTTCCTTTGTAGGCTAGTTGGGTATGTCTTCAGTGCTAAAGATGATGTAACTATGCAAATGCTTAACAGACGTTTTGAATTCAAGCTAAAATTCCATCCACGACTGATCTACATAACTTCTCAGGTAATTGAAGTAACCAGCATCCTACCTCTTCACTCATCCTTATACCAGGAGTCAATGTATACCAATCATGGAACATCATCTTACATTCGAAAGATGCAAAACGCATACCAAACATGGTCAGACTTCGGTAGGACTCGAGGAAGACTGACGTTAAGCATATTGGTGCAGCAAGGACGTCAGTTGATGAGATTGCAAACCCTCAGCGGTTGGAGGTTATACATATTTCGAGTCTACGACTACTTTGATGTGGTCATTCGAAGAAGGATTAGGTTGGTAGAAGTGTAGCTCACGGATTTAGGCGTTCGACTTCTGACCGATAGGTCACGCGTTTAAACCGGTTCCACGTAACGTCGGTTTAGGCAACCGGATACCATCCCTAACCCTCATACAATAAGTATGTCTGACTCTGCTGCACGTGTGCACATGTTTGCTGATTGCATTTTGACCCGATTTTTTTCGAATAAAACTCCAAAATGGCTACATTAAAAGGCTGTACTAATCCCCGAAGTCTGTCACTGTTGGTGTGAACCATGTTTGGAAATGCGAGCTTTCAGCCTAGGGTGAGTAAGACAGCTGTAAGTAATAATAAAACTCAAATTCGATAGTAGTGGTGTCCATGCATCCACGTCTTATCTTCACCACATCTCAATGTGCGTTAACGCTTATTTTGGTCTTATGATTTCTTAGGATTTTTCATGGTAGCTCTATTTCCTTGAGTTTCGTCTAGTGTGTTGATGAAGCGAAGTGAGGAATCGCAACTTCGATCATCAAGCTGTAGTTGTATCTCAAATTAATAACGACTGAACAACTGTATAGATAATCAATAAACATTACTTTGAAGTGATCTAAATATTCATCTTCCATTCTTCATGCACAGTAAGCAAGCTAAAATGTCCGTTACCAACCACATGCAATATACACATTGGCTGTCAAACGTACCTATTAATCCTAACACAACATAAACTGGTTGTGAATAATGAGTGGCGTTATATGAGTTCCCGGGATCGTAGATTTAAAAGAAACTTGGATGACTAAATCACTTTTTGGGCGAAATGATTTCTGTGGTTAGAAAGCTGGAACATCTGACTTATTCCAAATGGCATCGTATGTGCTCTGAACTTACTTTAACTAGTTATCCATGTAAATTATGTTAACAGTTGACTAGCCTAGTCTAAAAAACAAACCTAGTTATTAAACCTCATATTACAAAAAGTAGAATAGACTAATGCGGTAACACGATGACAGTAGAGAAAAGATAATTCGGCGAAGAAAATTTTCTTTTTGACGATAACAGTAAACGCATAGAAGTGGAGGTGAAGTCAACTTACACATATGAAAGTAGCAAACGAAATGCGTTATGGCGAAACTATTAAATTTTTGCTGGTCATGTTCCGAACTACGAAAACTTTTCTGATATGGAATGATAAGAAAATGCCTCTTTCAAAATTTATTAAGGAATACCCCAATAGAGACAAGTGATAGAAACCGTAGGATGATGTTACATTAGCTAATCATGTCTGGTTAGAAAGACTGTAATGAACTTATAACCATATTTATCCTTAAATTATAACATCTGAATACGTATCTCAGAAAAAAATTTTTAACCTTTTCCAATCACATTAGTAAAACTAGCATATCTTACCATAAAGAGCCACATGTTTGATGAAGATTTCATTCAAAACATCATAGTCTGAAGTTAAATCAGTCGATAAAATAAATACGTTGTTCTCTCCATCTTTCACACATTTTATGGCTTCCTTAGCCGACTCTAGTTTTTTGCGGTCACGAGCGACAATTGTAACATTTGCACCAGCTCTGTAAAACAGTTTTGCCAAAGACAGACCGATTCCACTTGAACCACCGGTGATAAGAACATTAAAGCCATGAAATGATTTTTTACACGCAGAATAGTCACTTCTGCGACAAAATAACAGGTATAAAGCAGATACCACAGCTGTAGTGATGACAATGAGAATCTATAGGATAACGTATAAAGTCAGGTCAGTAAATTAGAAATTCAACAAGTCAAAGTTAATAAGTAATTTGTATTTCAATTAACTATTATTTTGTTGTTTTAAAGCAATATATTTCATCATCTGACAAGTCATATTCTACTAGCTGACACTGCTGCCCATTATTTTCCGAGGAAACATAAGACCTAACTGGTCTTTCCAGTAAAGGTAAGTGGAATGGAACAGTAAGTTGCTGTGAGATTGAAGATAAGTCAGGAATTTCCTGTTGTTTTTCGGAAAGATAAGGTTGAACTTCAACAATCTGTGTTCCAGACGCATCTTTGCTCCGACCTTCACGATGCAAGTAATTATTTTTTAGCATGTCAACAGTGCAAAGAATTGATTGAACCTGGTGATCTGGGAACGAAATACACGTAGCCTGCCCCAGTAAACTTTCCAAGTTCCTTGAAAGACGCATATGACTGAGCGACTTCGATACAACACAGGAAGTTTGCGGAGGTATCTTAGTTGATTTTTTATTTTTTAACTTGAGCAATCTATTCAGTTGGCTGAGTTTGGTTTGCTTGTAACCTGGCATTCAGTAGCAAAGCAAAGTGAGTAGGATTCTGTTTCGAATAAGGTTGGGTTAGTTCTCTTTCTACTGATGGTTACTTTACAATCTATGATCTAAAATGGAAAGCGGGAACTTACTTTAAAGGCTAAGCATTTAGTGATGAGGATAAATTACTTCATGGCATTTATGATCTAAAACAACTAGTCCCTTTTATAAACTCTAAAAGAACAATACGAAGATGGAATTTATAAGAATCACGCGATGCAATTGAGCAACAGATTTTTAACAAACTGATTTCATACGTACTTGGCAGAGGTATTTGTATCAAAATTAATTAAAAAGATAGGGATTGAGAACTTGCAAAGAGTTCAAGTAGGAAGGCTAAATTAAGGGCCAAAATAACAATGGAAATTAACAAAGAGGCAATAATCGTGCATCAAACATAGTTTCAGTTTAATTCACCAAGACAGGATTACTGCATTAACACACCGGTGGTTTCAGCTTCCTAATAACTAAGGCCTCCAAAAACTAAAGGTTTCATTTCCAACACATATTGTGAACAACTAGTCGATGTAGAAACGTCAATATTTCGCAGTCGACGAACTCGAATGTCTGCTACCATCATTTATGGATTCGAGTGGTTCGACTTACTTTTGAAGCCACTTCGGGATATGTTCCGAGGTCCCAATATATTGCAACGTCGCTTAAAAAGCAAACTGAATCACTCTAATCCATAAACGATGGTAGCAGACATCCAAGCTCTTCGATTGTGAAACACATTGTTGAGTTAGGCCTCAGGATTGACGTTTCTACATCGATTAGTTGTTCACAATGTGTTGCAGATGAAACCTTTAGTTTTTGGAGGCCTTAGTTATTAGGAAGCTGAAACCACCGGTGTGTTAATGCAGTAATCCTGTCTTGGTGAATTAAACTGAAACTATGTTTGATGCACGATTATTGCCTCTTTGTTAATTTCCATTGTTATTTTGGCCCTTAATTTAGCCTTTCTACTTGAACTCTTTGCAAGTTCTCAATCCCTATCTTTTTAATTAATTTTGATACAAATATTTATGGGAAGTACGTGACCAATCACCGATTGTCGCAATCTTCAAGAAAGGTGAGGTCCTCCAATGATAGCCACAGAGGAATCAGCCTGACGAATATAGTGTCTAAGATTCTAGGGCCTATGATCACTGGAAGTCTGATTGGGGCTCGAGAACAGTAAGCCCGAGAGAACCAGGTAACCTTAAGGCTCGACAGCGGGTGCATCAACTAAGTACACTTCGCTACGTTCTGGGACAGTCATACTTATTGACGTCAGACACTAGCTGTATTTCTCGACCTGAAGGCGCCCGACTTCGTCGACTGAGAGGTTTTATGACGGTGTACCTCACTGAAATGAGTACCGAAAAAGTAGATCACTCTGCTAAGCGCTCCTCACTCGAACAACCGTGAGCGCGCTACAGCCTAAAGTGAGTTCTAGGTGATTTGTATACATCGAGAGCTGTTCGTCAATTCGATTATGTGATAGACACTTTTACTGAGGTCTCTCTCTCATCTGGTATCACAGGGGTTGATCTAATCACTGGAGAATACTTAGTAGATTTAGAGTGCGTAGATGACAGCTCTGTTAGGTGAAGATGCTGAGAAGGTACAGGATCTTCTGGACACCTTCAGTGACAGTTTGAGAATGTCAGGGGTGTTTCTTGTCACCTGAATACAAATGGTTGCTCCAAGACTGGTTCTCAGTAGTGCCCTGTCCAACACCAGAGTAAAGCAATTGAATGTGTTGACCATTTCAGCTACCTAGGAAGTCAGATCACTTCCAGTAGGTAGGTTAATGGTCGACGAAATCTCTGCACGGATACAAAAGGCTGGACTGGCCTTCGCCAACTTACGTCATCTGTGGCACCACTGCGATATTCGACTGCCTACTAACAGTTGTGTAGTGTGGTGCAGTTCGCCACGTACGGTACAGTCACCAAAGGTAGAACTCACGAGGTTTATGGTGTTTGACCACCGTTGCCTTCGTATCATAGGTCGTGTCGTGGGGTAACCACGTCAATAACTCAGAACCCAGGTACAGATATTTTGGGTGGGGCGGGGGGTGGTAGCTGGTAAGCTTGTGGACTTTTATCAACTAAGATGGTTAGGACATGTATTACGCATACCCTGTCACGCAACGTTACGTGAAGTAGCTTCATGATGTAAAAAGTCAGACTAAAATATGGCATCAGTGCGTAAAGTCATTGACTGTTGGTTTGAGCCATATCAGGAGATGCGGACTAGCCAGTTGGGATCCATCTGACAACAGAATTCAGTGGTTGGAGACTCTGGGTGACATGACTCACAATCGATGCCATTGGCGCAGACTAACCCACGCTTTATCTTCATCTCAACCGCTTCTCAATCCTCTCTCACTTTCACTGCATTCTGCTGCTTCCGGCCGATTTTTCTTTCTTTTGTCATCTTTCATGCTACTAGTTGGTTACTTGTGTTGATGAAGTGTGGCAACTTGAACCACCAGGCAGTAATGCCTGGCACTTTGTCCAAATTGACTCGACCGACCAGACTGTTTTAAATATGAAGCAGAAGCAGGTTTATTATTGCTTAAGTAATGTCCAGATACCTAGTTTGAAATTTGGACAAAAGAAATGCTCAGTCACCATAGAACTGTACCAGTTAAAAAAGTTTCTACACGGTGAACCAAGCGGCTGATTCACGGTAAACATCTTTGCAATAGGGAGATGGTCATCAAGAGAATTCATATGTAACCTTGACGTAATAGGGATCAACACAGCCTACCACGTTTGAAACAGACAAAAATGTCATTCATAAAGTAAAAAGAACTAGCCCACTATCCTGAACTACACCAGAAGTAAACAGCCAGGGTTCCAAAGTCGAGACTCAATTCTCATTCCAGGAATGGAATACTACTCAATGATGCCTTCGAAAAGACATCATCTGTCCGTTATGAGCAGAAATCATTTGCAGTGACCTCAAGCTGGAGAAAGCTAAGTGAGATAAATATACCTCCAAACCAACCAAAATGGATAAAATTAAGGGGAGAGAAAAAGGAAATAGGGGATAAGAGAGACAAATACCGACATTTTGCTACCGCAGTGCAGAAACGTGTCCCTCTCTCCCCAGTTAACTGGCTCTACTAGGCGAAAAAATTCCCTCAGTAATTAAATACATTCAAATGGAAACAAGTGTTCACCATTCATGCAGAGTGAGAAAGCACACGACAGTATTTTATCAAAACACTATTCTTCCTTTAACATATGTTACGGATATCCGTGAGTGATCACGAAATGCAGCTGCGTATATTTACAGTCCCTTGCTTAATTAGCATACCGGCTGGGATGCCGACTCAAATAACACACACAGGCTATGATAAAGCAGTATGATACCCGGACTGGCCACTAAACAAACACATACAAAACCCGCCTTGATTACACTTCAACATCCAACACCATTCAAAATTCCAATATTCAACATCTTTTAACGAGCTAGTGTAAATCAATTGATTTTTTCGCGCTAGCGGAACGGTTTCAGGTCTTTGGTGGTCTACCTACTCGGCTGCTGTAGCTCTGGTTAGCCCGACGGGCGGTTGGGTGTTGGTTAAATTTTTTGGGGAGTGTTGTTAGTGTTTGTTTTTTCTTCCGAGGACTATGATTCAGATGAGTTCCTCAAGTGTCGTGCCGGCAGACAATTGGCCGGACTGGTTGTAGAAAGGAGATGAAAAATATGTGAAGAGAAATCAAGGGAGAGAAAGTGCAGAGAAAGGCAAAATCGAAAAGGAAAACGAAAAAAGAAAAAAATGATAGAAAAAGATTTGGAAAAATGGCAGGGAAGAAGAAATATTGGCAGGTTTATGAAGAATAGGTGATGGGAGAGCTTTTTCTAGTTTGAGGATGAAGTGTCAGAAGGAAGAATAATAAATGACATGACAGGACGAATGGGAATCCTTTTAGCAGGAGACGGTAATCTGTGGGGACGTCTACAGGAAGGTGTAAGGTTGAGCCAAGTTCTCAGTGATAGTGGTTTTACAGAGTGTTCAGTAACGGTTGGCCGTACTGGGTTGGTAGGACGTGTCAGCGTAGTCAACATTCCAATTGGATGGTCGCAAGCCGTGTGTCTCCGCGTAACTGTCCAACCTCTTCTTGAAGCTGTCAATAGACGGAACGGTAGCAGCCTCAGCAGGCAATGCTTTCCAGTGGCCGAAAACTCGCCGAGAGAAGAAGTGTGATCGCACACGGGTTTTCGCTCTTCGGTGTGCGATTCTCCTTGAGTTACCACAAGGATCACCATACTGGCCGTTCTGTAGCACTCCGCTGTTCGAGTGACTTGGGTTACTTAGTATTTTGTAAGCCGTCATCAAGCCACCACGTAATCTGCTGTAGCTTAGACAGTAGAGCCCTAGATCTTCCAGCTTGTCCTGATATGGTTTTCGCCTCATTCCCACGACACCTTTTGTGGCTCGCCTTTGGACTTTCTCCAGGAGGTTTACGTCTCTTTTCAGATGTGCAATGACGTTGTGGACCTCTGGGTGGGGTTGTATATAAGTCTTATGCAGCTTCAGAAAGAGTTCTGTGGTCAGGGCGCCCAGCTGTCCGCGCATGAAGTGCTGTACTGTGTAGGCTCTGGAGGTACCTCCTGGATAAATGGGCTAGTGTCTAGTTTGCTGGTTAGGATTAGTCCTAGGCCTTTCTATGTGGTGGTGTGGGAAAGTTGTCTTCCACAGAGAGGATAAGGGACCTTCTGAGAGTCAGGGGTGTGAAGAAACGTGGCTCGACACTTATCCA